GGGTTCTTCATTAGACAATCGACAAATTGCCTGTTATATCGACTGGATTCGAACTAGTTGGTATATTGTTTTCTACGGTAAGTAATTAGCTTCGAGTTCATATCACGTTATCAACAAGAATATATGGATTATCCCTTATAGTCATGTAACTTAATCGTTGCTTTTTGCAGTGGTTTACATATCGATATCTCTTGTTCAAACCCGATAGGTACTTAAAATCCTTGATTAAACGAGGTTTATGAAACCGAATGCAAGTGATTTTCTCTAACCTTATTATTATATGCTCAATTTTTTTCAGAGAGGAACTATCTCAAATTGTCAAGAAATCAGTAGCTGATATACTTGGCCAGTAATCTCTTTGTGGTGTTGTGAGATGATTTTGTCTATGTAAGTTTGTGTAACATGTCAGATTTGTTATATCGTGGTCCAATTTCATGTATTGAACCTGTAAATACTGTATTGTGGGTTTTGGTTGTTGTTTCTTGTAAACAAATCAATCATTTCATATGAAATATCAAAGATTAAATACCATAGACTTCAAGATTAAAGCCCTACTTGTACAAAAGTATAATTCATATATATTGAGTAAACTAATAGATTTGATATTTTAATCAGATTAATTTGGTTTTGCGCACAACTTGTTTATAAAAACAAAATATCAAAAGGATAGGCTCGAGAAGACGTTGACTTTGATTGAGAGATATTTTCCGTATCATTCATTGGCTCGACCGTGAAAAGTCAAAACTTAAATGTGAACTAACGTAGTCCAAAATTTATTCTTTGATTTCTGCATAGAAGTTTCTTCGTTTTATCAATAAGAAAAACGCATTTTTTCTATTAATTTCATAGTTTCCTTGGGAATAAAAAGAAAAATAAATAAAGAAAGCTTATCTTTTCTTCTATAAATTTCCCTTCATGTCAAACTAGCTAGCTACACTTTACATATACCAACCAATGGGTCGAGTCACTACTCCACCACCAGGGGAGAATCCAAACAATGGTTTCCCGGCTCAGCAAACCGGTTCACCGATCAAGCAAGCTGGAGTTCCTGTGAGCCAATTTGCGCCGCCAAACTATCATCAAGCTAATGTTAACCTATCTATTGGGACTCCATGGAGGACTGGTTTGTTTGATTGTCAAGAAGACCAAACCAATGGTATTTTATCCATATACAATCTTCTTTTTTTTTTTTTTGGGTATCTCTCGAGACCAGAGCATGTTAAATTAGTTCGCTTTCCTCAAGATATTTATATTTCTTGCAAACGATATTCCAATAATGGACTCACTAATCTTTAAAAACTTTGTGCAGCCGTTATGACAGCAATCTTACCTTGTTTGACATTCGGTCAAATATCGGAAGTAATGGATGAAGGAGAGATGAGTAAGTTCCGGTTTACACAATTTATAAACCGAAATCGGATTCTTCCTTAATATGGTTTTAAAGCTTGATTTGATTTGTTTCCGCGCAGCTTGTCCTCTTGGAAGTTTCATATACTTGTTGATGATGCCGGCTTTATGCTCACAATGGGTGATGGGATCAAAGTATAGGGAAAAAATAAGAAGAAGATTTAATCTTGTGGAAGCTCCATATTCAGATTGTATCACTCATGTGTTTTGCTCTTGTTGCGCTCTTTGTCAAGAATACAGAGAGCTCAAGGCTAGAAATCTTGATCCTTCTTTAGGTAATATTCAAAAATCCCCCAATCTATGGAAAATTGGCTTGTATACACCGAATCTTATAGTCCAAGAAATTTATATATTCAAGTGTTATTACTTTAACCGGTTAGAGGACAGTAATTTTGGTTTGATTTTAGTGTTAAAAACATACGTTTAGAATACATGATTTACGCTTTGTAGATCCATCACAAATACTATATATGAACTTTTCATAGATGACATAACTTCCTTAGATATAAAAATTAATATGTCTACATATATATTGAAAATTGTGAAGAAATCTGTTTATAATTGCAGGTTGGAATGGGATACTTGCTCAAAGACAAGGGCAATATGAGATTGAAGCTCCTCCAAATCAATATATGTCTAAGTGAAAATTTAATCTTAGTTGACCTCAATATTTGATAAACATTATTTGTGGACCATTACACAATGCAAGTGTGTTGTTATATGTATTAAAATTTCCAATGCAAGTGTGAGATTGATCTTAGTTTTGTAGCTACGTCGACCTACGTGTAAAATGATGAAATCTGTAATTTCTGAATAATATAAAAAGGTTTTGTTATCTCCTTAGAAGAAC